AATCATAAAAGAGGTATGCCAGCCATTGAATTTCACAAGTTAAGGAGGCAAGTGCTCTATATTCTGCCTCAGTGGAGGAGCGTGACACTGTATTTTGCTTCTTTGAGCGCCAAGAGATCAGAGAATCACCAAGAAAAATGCAGAAACCAGTGACAGACTTTCTGGTGTCGGGACAACGGGCCCAGTCAGAGTCTGCAAAGCCACTAAGCTGCAAAGAACTGGTGCTGGAAAGGAAGATACCACGCGCAGGAGCACCCTTCAGGTATCTTAGAATGCGAACAGCAGCTTGGTGATGTGGAACCAAAGGATTCGCCACGAATTGACTGAGGTGTTGCACAGCAAAGCACACATCAGGACGTGTGTGAGTGAGATAGAGGAGTCTGCCAATGAGTTTGCGATATGAAGAAGGATCCTCCAAGGCAGCACCTTCAGTAGAAGAGAGTTTGGTGTGGGGATCCAGTGGTGTTGAAACTGGTTTAGCACCAAGATAACCAGTTTCTTCAAGAAGCTCAAGCACATATTTCCTCTGATTGAGGAAAATGCCAGAAGTTGATCTTGCAATTTCTAACCCCAAAAAGTATCTTAAGGGACCAAGATCTTTAATACGAAATTGCTGATGCAGAAAAGACTTCACATGGTTAATCTCTTCAAGTGAGTCACCTGTCAATAAAATATCATCAACATAAACCAGAAGAGCAGTGAAGTTATGGGAAGTAAGTTTAGTGTATAAAGAGTGATCAGCTTCAGATTGAGAAAAGCCAAGAGAGGAAAGGGCTGATGATAACTTGGCATGCCACTGTCTACTGGCCTGCTTCAGCCCATACAGTGACTTGTTTAACTTGCAAACTTTGTTGGGACCAAGATACTCATAACCAGGGGGAATGGACATGTAGACTTCTTCATGTAAGTCTCCATGGAGGAAGGCGTTGTTTACATCCAGTTGTACCAAATGCCACTGTTTGATAGCTGCAATAGAGAGGAAAACTCGAACAGTAGTAATTTTAGCAACAGGAGAAAATGTATCAAAATAATCAACTCCTTCTAATTGAGTATAGCCCTTTGCAACCAAACGGGCTTTATAACGTTCTATGGTACCATTTGCAAGATACTTGACCTTATACACCCATTTACAACCAACTGGAGATTTACCTGAGGGAAGATCCACAATGGACCAAGTTTGGGTGTCCTTGAGGGCCTGAATTTCAGAATCCATAGCCTTTCTCCAACAGTCATGTTTAGATGCTTGTAGGTAAGTTTTGGGTTCTATGGTAGTGGAAATAGAACAACAAAAGGATTTGTAGGATGGTGAGCAATTTGAGTAGGAAAGGACATTGGATATAGGATAAGGAGTGGTGGCTAAGGGAGGATTTTGGCTATTTGAAGTTAAAAGGTTGCAGTGGAAATCTTTAAGGTGTGAGGGAGGATTTTTGAGTCTGGTGGATTTTCTTGTGGGAGGGACTTGAGGTTGTGGGGCTGGCTGTGAAGTGTGTAAGGGATATAAGGGTGTGGTCAATGACTCTTGGATGATGTGAGGGTCATGGTCAATAACCATAGGACTAGAGGAAGGAGGAGATAATTGAGGAGGATTGGGACAAGATAGAGTAGGCTCTACTACTGTATTAGGTGAGGGTGAATTAGTGATGTTGATTGGGATAGGGGTGGCAGGTGCAGCAGCATTATTTGGGGGGCCAGGGTGTGTAATGTCACAATCATATACAATATCTAGGTTGTCATAAGGGGTGGTAGATTTTTGGGAAATGTTGTCCTTGAAAGGAAAGAAAGTCTCATAAAAGACAACATGCCTTGAGAAAAATAAAGCATGTGATTTTAGGTCATATAATAGGTATCCCTTAGTCCCATCAGTGTAGCCAAGAAAAACAGCTTTTCTGGCCCTAGCATCAAATTTTGTCCTATTGTTTTGTAGGGTTGTTGCATAACAAAGGCAGCCAAAGACCTTTAGATGAACAAGGACAGGGTAGGTATGGTAAAGGAGTTCATAGGGAGATTTAGACTTAAGGAGAGGACTAGGAATCCTATTGATGAGGTGGACAGCATGCTGAATGCTGAATGTCCACAGATTTAAAGGGATGTTTGAATGAAAGGTGATGGCTCTAGCAACATTTAAAATGTGTTGGTGTTTTCTCTCAACAACCCCATTTTGTTGAGGGGTTTCCACACAAGTCTTTTGATGAGCAATGCCTTTAGATAGAAAAAAAGGTTTGAGTGTAAGGAATTCTGAGCCATTGTCAGACCTAAAGCATTTTAGAGTGGTTTGAAATTGATTTTCAATCAAGGAAACAAATTGGATGATGCTGTTTTTAGCTTCAGACTTTGTTTTTAAAAAGACAATCCATGTGAATCTAGTGAAATCATCAACAAGGGTCAAAAAATATCTATGACCTAAAATGGAATCAGTAGCCAAAGGGCCCCATAAGTCAGCATGTAAGAGTTCAAAGGCAGCATTAGTATTGGTGACACTATTAGGAAAAGGTAACTTCTTTAATTTGGCCAAATGGCAAGAATCACAAGGATTCATATTATTGTTACAAGGAATTAAGGGAAATTGTTTAGACATACAGTGCATTCCAGTATTGGAAAGATGCCCTAGTCTATTATGCCACAGTTCAAAAGAATTGGAAACTAAAGAATTACATGAAGGAGAGACATCACTTGTATCAATCACATAGAGGCCTTGGTGCAATTTAGCTGTACCAATCATTCTCTGCGAATGGTTCTGCAAAATGGCACACATGGTCGAAGAAAATTTTAGAAAGCATTTATTTGTAGTTGTTAATTTTGTGATAGAGACAAGATTGACATGAAATTGAGGGATATAGAGCACATTGTATAGGGTTAGGGTTGGGGATAGTATTATAGTGCCTGAGATGTTTGCCATGATATGAGAACCATTTGGTAAGGCTACAGAGATAGGGATAATGGGTTGGTAAGTAGCAAAGAAATCTAAGTGAAAGGCTATGTGATCAGTGGCTCCAGTGTCTAGAATCCACAGTTTAGGGTTCTTACCAGGATAGTGCAGGGACTGAGAGTTTGAGGCAGATGGAGATGTAGTGATAGCATTGGCTGTTGGGGCTGGTTGAGACTGTTGAAGTAAGGCTCGGAGATTCTGAAGTTCCTCCTGAGTAAACCCAAACGTGGATGTGGATGATCCTACAGTTGAATCAGCAGCTTGTGTAGTGTTGTTAGCTTGAACATGAGACTGACTTTGGCTAGTTTGATGAGTTTTGGTGCGTTGTCTATAGCCCGGAGGATATCCATGTTTCACAAAACAAGTATCCACCGTGTGATTCGTACGACCGCAGTGAGTGCAAACCTTATTTCCTCCTTTGAGGGCAGGATAGGGACCTTTTCCTCTGCCGTAAGACACTCTTTTGCCATTGGTATGGGTGTTGACCTGAAGAGCAGTGGCAGGAGATTCAGTAGAAGGACTCTCCGTGGAGGTAAAGGGAGTACCGGAGTTCAATTCCCGTTCTTGCTGAATCACTAGCGAGAAGGCCTTGTCAATGTCCGGAAGAGGTTGCATCATCATGATCTGCGATTTGGAGTGGGCGAAACGTTCGTTCAATCCTTTCAAGAACCGAATCACGTAATCTTGCTCACGGTAGACACGAGCAGATTGTACAGCATCACAAGAACACGCAATTGAACATTTGCAAAAAGGAAGGGGACGATAATTCTCCAATTCATCCCAAAAGACTTTCAACTGCGTAAAATAGTCAGAGACATCAAGAGTACCTTGGCGGAATCGATACAGATCTTCTTGGATATCTGAGATTCTGAAGATGTCGCTCTGAGAAAACCTAATTTGAAGGTTCTTCCAAACGCCTGCTGCAGAGTCGATCCATAACACAGATTTCGCAATGGATTCTGAAATTGATCGCTGAATCCAAGAAAGAACCATTGTATTGCAGCGAATCCATTGTGCATAGAGAGGATCAGCAACTTGAGGCCTTGGGAATGTGCCGTCAACAAATTTCTCTTTGTTCTTCGAAATCAGAGCGATTTGCATCGATCTTGACCAGATGTGGTAGTTCTTGTTGTCCAATGGTGGAGCAACGAGAACAAGCGCCGGACTTTCGTTCGGATGAAGATAGTAAGGGTTAGCAGAGTTTGTCGCGAAATCGGAGAAGCTCGGATGATCCATCGTCAATGGAAAACAAAAGAAGGAATCGCCGGAGAAGAAAGAAGAAGACCGTCAGAATAGTCACCGGGAGAGAAATGATATAAGGAAACCGCCGGTGAGGGAGGAAGAGACGGTGGCGAAGGAAAAAGGAACGGTGGTCATCAGAGCTCAGGTTGCTCTGATACCATATTGATATTGAGATAATAGCATAGTAGTGAAAAAGAATACGCCACGTGTAAAGTAAAAAATATGTGCATTATCTCATATATTCCAGTAGTTTACATCCACTAATATATATACTAAGAATGGAAAGGGTAAACTAGTAACTAACTGTTGAAATAGTAACTAACAGTTAACAACTTAACAGAAAAAGGAACTAACTCTAATAGCTATCTTGATAATATATGACCAATATAAAAACCAACGGTGATAGAATCAACTGAATTCATACATGATCCAATATTTATCTTCAAGTACGCAAAGTGGTAGATGACTTGCCGAGAACAATTTGTCCATTTAACAGGAGGATTTTTTTCTTCAATAGAACCTATCATTAAAAAAATACGTTTATAAACTTAATAGAGGAAGCTATCGGTTGTTCAAGGAGGATCCAAACAAGCTCTGATATCATTCTAGTATTTGGTATCCTTTGGTGGAAAGGATGTTTTGGAAAGAAAAACTCTTTAGCAAAAGTCGATTACCAATGAATTTTGTTGCCATTGTTGTCTAACTTTTGCTAGCAAATGAATGTCGATGCAGAGTATCTATTGTAAATGACTTGGGTTCAAATCAAACTATTATTCTTTGTTTTTTTTTCTTCTTTCAATAGGCACATTTGTTGAAGGAGAGGGGTGACCTAATGGAGCTAGTTGATAGAAGATTGGGTTCAGACTTCAACAAAAAGGAAGCTATGGTGGTAATCAACGTGGATCTCCTATGCACCAATGTCACTTCAAACCTTAGACCCTCCATGTCGTCGGTGGTAAGTTTCCTTGAAGGGAGGGTTGTGGTTCCAGAATTTGTTTCAGATTCAAGTGAAGTAATGGATGAAAAGAAGTTGGAAGTAATGAGGCAGTATTACCATATCAGATGGAAGAAAATGATATAAGTCAATCACAAACACGAAATCAGAGTATATCAATTGATGAGTCATGGACTGCCACATCTTCATCAGCTGTAGACCTTTATCCTGTCCACCTTGATTCTTCCTATTGGGAGGAAAGAAATTAACAGTATTTGTTTAAATAATTGCAGCTGTAGACCATTTTATGTATTTTATTTGAGTTGTTCTTCAGTTGTTTCCTCTGATTAGTTGAATACATCTTGTATCGATCTTGACTTGTTGTTTTACGGTTTTGAAAAATATTACCGTTGAAGAAATTATTGGATCGAGTTGCGAATTAAGTTGCTCTCTTTAAGACGTTTCGTGACACTATCCAAAGTTATGCAAAACAGTCACTCAACCACGCCACATTCAGGATAAAATATCTCAGTTCTATACCATAAGATTACTACTTACACGATAGATAATTGATCGAGAAATACATCTTAGAGGTTTCAAAATCCAATCAAATGTGGTATAAATATCACTCGTAGTATCTAGTATATAGCACACTCATAATAATTCCTCAAACGATGTGAAATTCAAATAATTCTCAAAGAGAATTTAATAATGGTCATTTGACAACTCGAAATAATTTTCAAGAGAAATTCAATTAATTCTTCAAAGAGAATTCAAAATTAATAGTTTATAATTTCTCAACTCAAATGAGGAGAAATTAAAATAATTCTTAAAGGAAATTCAAGGAAGTATTTGAAAAATTCAACGAGTAGAAAGAAATGGGGGAAATTTGCGCTTCGACAATTTAAAAGACACAAAATTATGAGAGTGAGAAAGGAAAAACTCAATAAGTTTTTGGTGTGTTTTGTAATGAAATAGAGAGTTTCCTTATATAATAAAGTAAGATAGCTAAGATATCTCACCTAAGCAATGTGACACTAAAGAATATTTTCAACTAACACACAATGTGAGACTTAAGAAACTTTTTCAAATTCATCTCCCTATTAGAATATTGACATGTTCCAACAATCCTCCACACGGATTTTAAAAAAAGTGTTTCAAATGGAACACCAAACACTTTTAAGATTGTGCACAAGCATATGTGTCTACGACTTGAACCATTGCGTAGCAAATAGGTTTTGATTCAACAAGGGTGACTCAATTGTCTTAAACTATATCTCAAACATCAAAGTCATACACAACCTTTCCTTAAGGTGTATTCTAATAGTCCGTGCTTTAATTGCCCTGCACGTATATCACGTATAGTGAATGCTCTAGAAATTCTGCCTCAAAATTTTATAGGAATTGGCCTAAATTCCACATTCACACAGGTGAGTCTACCAAGAGTACTCTGAGTAGCTAGGTACTCCCTCATACAAAGTATATATCTCATGAAGAGTTTCTATTATCTCATTCTCTTTTCGCTTCGGGATTCATGCTTCTCTTATTTATACTAGCATGATCAGCTCATATCACTCACAATTTTTTATTACCCATTGGACCTATTTCTTGGGATCTCTAGTCATTTAGGCCGGGTTACCATCACGAGCAACAAATTTATCTATAGGAATTAATACATCTTCTTGGATGTATTATGACTTCCTCTCTAGCTAATTATTTCGTCAAGGATCTACAAACTTTTTATCAGTGCGTATGATTCACTCTTACAACTCGTTTGAATATACAATCTCTACTAGAGTTGTGATTTCTTATAATTTTATGTCTTTTACCATTATAATAACGATTCTCAATTTTTGTAATAGCCGCGATAATGTCATAGTGGATCAACAACTAGTATACGTTTTCCCCACAGAGGGATCTCAGCTAGCAAGCATCTTAACCAACTTGCTTCTTCACTAGAAGTCACTAATGATATCATCTCAGACTCCATCGTGGATTGGACTTAGATATTCTTTTCTTAGATTTCTAAGATACAATTCATCAAACTATACTAAATATATAGCCACTAGTTTCTTTTGAATCATTTGGTAAGATATTCTAATATGCTTAACTGTATCATTCAAGTACAGTTGGAGATTTTTGATAATGTAAACCAAGATTCAGGGTCCTCTTAAGGTATTAGATGACTCTCTCAATGGCTTTCAAATTCTCATTGCTCAGACTACATGTAAATATGTACAACAATCATACAACATATGCAATGGCGGGTCTAATACAATCAGTGACATACCTAAGACTGTCAATGATGCTCTCATGCGTAGTTTGTCTAATACTCCCAACAGTGTTATTAAATAGTTCAACACTAGGATCTTGTGCAAGCAAGGTTACAGCAAAATAAATATATTTTCTTTAAGATCTTCTCCATATATTGAGATTGATCCAAAAATATTTCCTTTTCATATCTAGTGATCTTGGTTTCAAGAATCACTCTAGATAATCAGAGGTCTTTCATATCAAAATTATTACACAACAGTGATTTCACATCATTAACAACATGAAGGTTTTAATCCAAATATGAATAAGTCGTCTACATAGAGACATATGATACTTCAAATGCGATTCTCAAGTTTGTAATAAATGCATTTGTCACTTTCATTCACCAGGTACTCATTGAATATCATTAAGTTATCAAACTTATTATGCCATTGATTTTAAGCTTATTTTAAACTATACAAAGACTTATCTAACTTATGATCCTTATTTTCTTGCCCATGAATTACAAACTCTTCTGGTTGAGAGTCACTGTTTTAAAAAATGTTTTAACATCTATTTGGTGCACAACTAAGTTATAAATAGCAGAAATTGAGATCAGTATACTAATGGATAAAATTCTAAAGAATGAAGAAAAAGTATAAAAAATATCTATGTTTTCTCTTTACCTTGAAAATCTATTCCTTAGGGGATAGATGTTAGACATGATTGTTAGAACATAGTTTGATTCTACAATCCTCAGTTAGAGTTTTGATGATAACAAAATACAAGATTAAATGAATTATGAGATTTATATAAGACATATATGCTACTTAAAATTATGTTGTGTATTTACAGAAACTCTGATGGAATCAGCATCAGAATATCAGTATCAACATCAGCATCAGAAGATATGTCAGCATCAGAAGATCAAATAACATGTGCTATACGCTGAAGCCTGATGAACAGAATCTGCGCATAACATACTCTGACTCTGATCAAGATCCTAACCATGTCATCAGCACTCAGAAGCGTCAGAATAAGCTAAAGCCAAGAACACTCTGATTATCATTAGCATAACACTCTGAAGTGTCAATGTTACTATGCATTCAAGACAGATTAATTACCAACGACTTTATTCCAAGACAAAGATCTTCTCAAAAAGGAAAGAACGTTATGAGCATTGAAATGGATTTATGGACAACAACGTATCTATTCCTAGGCTACTTAAACAAGTCAGTGAGAAAAGAAATGGCTAATACTCTACACGCACGCACGCATACGAAAACTCTCTCACTCAAATTGCTAAAGCTTTCAACCACGCCTACTCAATAGCATTAGCAGTCTAGTTCAATCTAAGCTTACTATTGTGTATTATCACAGTTGTGATATATAGTTTTGTAAGAAAACATCAAACACACATTTGTTCATTTATCTGTAAGAAAACTTCCTTGAGATAAACCGGTCTGTGGTTAGACTCAAGAAGGCTTTAACAGTTGTTAAAGCAGTTGTGTATTCAGTTGAATATAGTGGATTAAGACCTCGTTGGAGAGAGGAGAAATCACCTTGACGGGTGGACTGGAGTAGTTTGAGATCAAACGAACCAGGATAAAAATAACGTGTTGTCTACATTTGATTTTAAGTTTTACAACTCAACCCCCCTTCTTGTGTTTTTCACATCTTCAATTGGCATCAGAGCGCCTGGTTCTGAGCTTATAACACTTAACCGTGTCAGTACAAGATCCAGCGTTAGAAAAACACAATGGCAGGACCACATCAAAACATCAGCAATGACAACAATGAAGAAAGAGACAGATTCAGTGGCAAACCTCCAGTCTTTGATGGAGAGAACTTTGATTATTGGAAAGACAGAATTGAAAGCTTCTTTCTGGACTATGATGCTGATTTGTGGGACATGGTGACTGATGGATACACGCACCCAGTGGATGCAAGTGGTCAGAAGATTGACAGGAAAACAATGTCTGATCAGCAAAAGCGTGATTTCATAAATCATCACAAGGCCAGAACAATTCTTCTCAGCGCCATCTCTTACTCTGAATATGAAAAGGTATCAAACAGAGACACTGCAAAGAATATGTTTGACTCTCTGAGAATGACGCATGAAGGCAACATTCAAGTCAAAGAAACTAAAGCTCTTGCGCTCATTCAGAAGTATGAGGCATTCAAGATGGAAGAAAGTGAATCAATTGAAACGATGTTCTCAAGATTTCAAATTCTGGTGGTTGGTCTCAAAGTTCTGGACAAAGGGTATTCCACTGCTGATCATGTTAAGAAGATCATCAGAAGCTTGCCAAAACAGTGGAGGCCAATGGTCACAGCGCTGAAGATAGCTAAGGATCTCAACAAAATCTCTCTGGAGGAACTTGTCAGCTCCCTCAGAAGTCACGAGATAGAGCTAGAAGCAGATGAACCTCAAAAGCAAGGTAAGTCATTAGCTTTAAAATCTAACAGAAAATCTGACTCCAAAGTTTTGCAGGCTGTTGAAGAAACCTCTGATGGGTCCTCATTAGAAGAAGATGAACTATCTCTCCTCTCCAGAAGGGTGAATCAATTATGGAAGCAGAGGCAAAGGAAGTTCAGGAATCCCAGAAGATCAGAGAATCAGAATGAATCTTCCTCCAGATACAGAAGGTCAGAATCCTCCTCTGGACACAGAAGATCTGAAGGCTCTTCAGGAAGCAGAAAGCCAAACAACAAAGACATCATCTGATATGAATGTAACGAGCAAGGACACTACAAGAGTGATTGCCCAAAGCTTCGGAGGGAAAAGCCCAAAAAGAAGTTTGGCAAGGAAAAGAAGAAAAGTCTCATGGCTACATGGGATGACTCTGACACATCTGAAGCTGACTCCGAATCAGATGATGAGAGAGCAAACATAGCTCTCATGGCAAACATAACAGAAGACAGTGAAGCTTCTGAATCAGACTCTGAATCAGACACATAAGAGGTATTTCCTGACTTTGCTATAAACTTTACTAAGGCTGAACTAGCTGAAAGC